TATTTTTGTTTTTAGGTTTTAACACGACTTATTAAATCAAGGGGTAAAAATCAAAGTAGAAATCTCAATGTACAGTTAGTTGCTGCAGATAAATTAGCTCAATGTTCGCCGGTAAGTCAGTCATAACTTCAGAGATACATTCAATGTTCGCCGGTAAGTCAGTCATAACTTCAGAGATACATTCAATGTTCGCCGGTAAGTCACAGTCATAACTTTAGAGATACATTCAATGTTCGCCGGTAAGTCACTGTCATAACTTCAGAGATACATTCAATGTTCGCCGGTAAGTCACTGTCATAACTTCAGAGATACATTCAATGTTCGCCGATAAGTCACTATCATACATTCAGAGATACATTCAATGTTCGCCGGTAAGTCACTGTCATAACTTCAGAGATACATAAACCAATTCAGCTAGCAGGTTTGCTCATATGTCCGCCAATAACTCGTGAGTGGCACATGTTTTTCACCAAAATGTTGTGCAGCATTTACTTACTTTTCTTTTGTTCCTTTATTAATTTTATGCCACATAGACATTATTTTTGCCTTCAGGTATTTATCAGAAGTGATGCAAAAATTGAGTTTATTTTACAAATGGTTGCCACAATTTGGCATTCAAATATTCTTTTCCTACTCATAAAACTCGTAAATTTGTAAACAGTTGTTTACAGTGGCATATCCCTTCATTTTGTTTTAGTTAATAGTTTTTTATGATTAAAAACAAATTAGAAAATCACAGGGATCCCTGATCAATTTTTCTGAAATTTCATGGTAAATGGTCAAATTAGCACATTAAATTTTGACAGGTTTTTACCCTTCTTTTCATTTCATTTCATTCATGATTACTTATGAATTACTTACATTATGAAAATGACTTTTATAAATGTGATAAATGGAGCTCTTCATAAGGCAAACATTTATGATCATAACGTGAGATTTTTAATTCACCTAGAAAACATGCTGGTATCTCATGTGATCCTCATTCAATAAATAGTGCCAACTAGTGTCTGATAATGACTATTCCTTTTGTTTACAGGAAATGTTTGATGTGCTTTTAGACGAGAATCAATTAGAAGATGCGTGTGAGCATTTAGCCGAGTATTTAGATGCCTATTGGAGAGCTACTCATCCACCAGTCCACCCAAGTCCACCGAAACCAACTCCTGCTGCTGTTCCAAACGCTGTTTCCCGGACACCCTTACATAATCTTTTATCAAGGGTCAATTCTCATGGACATGGGCTCGGAGAAGGAGAAGAACGTCGTGTAGAACCAACAATCGATAAAGAACGTGTGTCTAACAAGGTCCCTGATAGGGATCATGAACTTGAGAAACGGAATATAGATAGAAGCGCTGATCATAAAGAGCGCAATAACGAACATTATCGATTCGATGAATATCGTCGTGATGAGAGAGATCGTTCACAGGATTATACCAGGCGAGAAGAACTTGACAGGTACGATGATCGAAATGACAATAGATATCCAGAGGAGAGATATCAGATGCAGGAACGAACGCGATACGATAGATATGATCCAAGGTATGACTCGGATCCAAGGATGGAAAGAGAAGTGCATGATCCAAGACTAGTAGAGCATGATAGACCATCACGGTTTGATCGGCCACCTGTCGAGCGCGACAGGATACCAGAACGGAATTATGATTATACGGATCGTGATCCAAGAGGGGATCGGCATACAGTTGAGCGGGATATGTATTATGATCATGACCGTGATCCCTATGATAGAGATCGGGATTATGAGTATGGACGACATATGGACCGAGAACGGCATGCCCGAGGCCGTAGTAGAGAGAGACTAGACTATGAACGTGAAAGAATGGGTAATATGCACCCTAATGTGGGATATTCTAACCAGAGGCAAACTTCACATTCAAGATACCCTGATCAAGTTCCACGTGAACGAATACTGCGTGATCAGTCACCATCCTCTATGCGTTCGTCCCATGTAAAAACTTAATGGACGTTTGTGTGTTTTCACGTTTATTCATACTCTACTCCAGTCATTGCTTTTGTCTGTCAGTCTGTATGTTAACTGAAGATGCACACAGATTTTTTCTGCACAGATTTTTTACAGCCATGGTGATGCTTCAGGTCTAACTCCAAGACAAAGAAGCCTTACAATACATCATGTCCAAAAATGGCAGTCTATTGCGTCTGGAACACCAACGCTATGAAGCGCTTCAGGGGTCTAAGGAACTGATACGCTGCAGCACTATCTTCCCCTACTCCCTTAAAACAAAATGCTGCAGTCGTCACACAGCAACATGGCAAGTGATGGTAAATAGCGCCCACTAGTGTCAAGAAGTGAGTCATTTACAGTAGAGTTCAGGTGGGCATCTGCCATCAGATTATCTTGGTATTGTCGTTACCTTTGACCCCTATGTATGAAATGTATGATATGGGATTCATCAATTGATTAAGTGTTTCCTTGAAGGGAGATGGACAATTTACTGTACAGCTTTTTAAACATGGATTTGCAGTGCGATATCCATCTATAAAAACAACAACTAACAATTGTAAGTTTTGGTTATTTTTTTTTGTATTGAATCATTTTTTTTTCTTATTATAATCCTAGTTCTATAAGTCAACGTTTTGATACTTGTCGATGATGGACTTGTCCCTGAAATGGACTTGTCACATAAATAGACCTCTCACTCAACTAGACTTGTCACTAAAATGGACTTGTCACTCAGCTAGACTCGTCACTCAGCTAAACTCGTCACTAAAATGGACTTGC